CGTGGGGAACTCGGCTAATAGTTCTCTTTTTGTTTCTGAGAAGAAAAGTTTGGCGAAAGGGATCGCATGCCCGCCGCCCCCAGACCTGGGGGGCGGGGCTCCTGGTGCCCAGAGGGAAGTTTGGACAACCAATCAGCCTGGAGAAGACTCCGATGCCGCTGAAGGTTCGCTTTAACCCCGAAGGGAATTGCACCCCCAAATCACCCGGCCAGCCCACAGGCGGCCACCAGCACTTTAAACAACTCGTATGGGCCCGGCCAGTGCGGCTCAGCCATTGAGCATCGACCCAGGAACCGAGGTCACCGGTTGGATTCCGAGTCAGGGCATATGCCCGGGTTGCAGGCTCGATCCCCAGTATGGGGTGTGCAGGAGGCAGCCGATGGATCCATATCTCTCGATGTTTCTCTCTCTATCCCTCTCCCTTCCTCTCTCTCCAAAATCAATCTAAACATCTATTTTTTTAAAAGCTTGTATCGGCTAGGAAGGAACAGGTAAGGGCCATGGGGGTGCACAGTGTCCAGCAAGGGCCAGCGTTGCCTCCTGAGGCTGTAGGGTCAGCTACAGATGGGCCTGTGCTGTGCGCAGGTGTTTTGTTCTGTGGTCGTGTGGGAGAACCTGGGACCACTGCTCTGAGACCTTCTGTGGCCAGGAGGAGGGAATTGGTGATCGCAGGACCCTGGGTCACCTGGGGCTTTGGGCCCAGGGTCGTGGACGGGCTGGAGGAGAGGGTGGCCAGGCTCAGCAGGTGGCGCAGATTCGAGAAGCCCCGGGAGGGAGGCCAGGAGGGTCCTCCTGTCAGGCCCGGCCCTGTGTGCAGCCCACACCCCCGCCAGCTGGCGTTCTGCTCCTAACCTTGGACCCTGACCTCTGCCCGCCAGAGGCCGAGAGAGGGCCAACTGGGCCTCCAGAAAGGCACATCGGCTTAGGTCCCTGCGGGGCTTTATCCAGAACGGTGTCTACATCCTGTCATGTGTCCCGCGAACCTTGGTGGGCCTGCTAGACAGACCCAAGCCAGCGATGGTGCAAACCCTGCTCTGGGAGGCCGTCCGACTGGCCAGAGCGTCCGCAGCACCCCCACCCCCACCCCCACCCTGTGCCCTGAGCTCTCCCACCCCAGCCCCCTTGCCCAAGGTTGGACACTGCACTAGTCCACCTGGCTGACCAGCTCAGGCCTCATTCCATCCACACTCGGCCTTTGCGGGGTCCAGCCCCAGCGGGCCAGGGGTTCCCAAAGGTGTGGACGGAGTCGGCGAAGAATGAAGGACACGGAGACAGCGTTCAGATGATCAGCATAGCCAGGTTCTCTCTTTATTCTCCGTGGATCTTCCTGTGCCTGGCTGAGGCCACAGAGAGAGAGATCCAGAGGCAAGCTGAGCCTTTATTTTATAGTCAGAGGTAAACAAGGTAGTGGTTACCAGAGTTACACTGTTCTTGTGTGAGTTTCACTGGTTTTGGCAGCACTTGCTGCACCTCCCTCAGCCCATTAGCTTCCCAGATAAGGTCTAGGGAGTTATAAGGTCCAGCCTAATTATCTAAGAGGACTGTGCCCTCTAAGTTGGGACTTGTTTGTGATTTTGCCAACAGGTCAGTCCGAGGCTTAATCCTATAGCCTCGCCCACAGGCCTTCCAGATGGCACAGCCACGAGGGGCCCCAGCCAGGACGGCTGGAACCCTGCAGGGCAGCAAGGCCCTCTAGGGGCCCGGCCAGGGCAGCAGCCGGGGGACCCTCCCCAGCTTGGCTGCCCTCTCAGGGGTGGTCTTGTGTGTGTGTGTGTGTGGGGGGGTTCTCCCAAGGCGAAGCTGCATAACTAGATTGGCCCGGCACCCACCCCCCAGCTGGCCCCATCCTCCCTGGCGGTGGCCTGGCTCCAGGGCATCTCCCCGCTCGCAGACCCTCCGCCCTCTCCAACGGGCAGCAGTCAGATCTCAGACGCTGGGCCTCAGGGAAGGGCAGGTGGCTGCAGGCCGCCCTCCGCCGGGACGGTCCCCTCCTGCGACCACCAGGCGGGTCCGCGGTGGAATCCGCTGGCCTCTGGACTTGGCCCTTCTAACTTCATGGAGGTGAAATGTGAGCCCCCCCAGTCCGACCCTGCGGCCAGCCTCGCGGGGTGCCCCCCAGAGCCCGGGCACCCACCGGTTCCCGGAGAAAGGCCTCCGTTTATTTATTTAGGCAAATGGACCCCGCACAGCGGAGGACCCAGTGGGTGGGGACGACAGGGCCGGGGGGCCTGGCCTGGAGGGGGCGGGGCGGGGCTGTCGCCCAGGGGCGTGGTCTTGTGGGGGCGTGGCCGCAGCCTCCAGGCGGGGCGGGGCGTGTCGCTGGGGAAAGCCGGGCGCTGGAACCACCTCTCCGAGCTGCTTTCACTGGGTGCAGGGTGCAGGCTCAATGTAAAACCTAGAAACCTCCCTGCGCATGAAAGCCCCGCCCCAAGGGCCCACTCCTTTTGCACCAGCAACAAGTTGCTATTTTCTCTTAAAAAAACAGCAAAAAACCGCCAACCCCTCCCTAGCCCCCCCGCCAGCCGCCACTCACGTGCTGGTTGCAAACACTTGAGAGAAGCTGCTCTCACCAGCCCCGCCCTCCCCAAGCCCCGTGAATGGTGCTCTGGGGCCTCAGCGGACCCCGCGGTGACCAGTCCCCCAGCGCCCCCCCAGGCCCCGCCTCGCTGCTCTGCGTCCTTGCTCGCGGGGCCTGGGGCTGCTCGGGGAGGGGACTGGGCACGCACACCCCACACGTGGGCACGCAGGCTCTGGCCGCAGGGAGAGGGGCGGGCAGAGGCTGCAGGGACCAGGTGTGCCGGGCGGGCCAGGTGAGGACCACCTGGCTTTCTAGGAGGAGGCAGGAGGGGGTGAGGTGGGGACTGATGCTCAGCCTGCCGCACACCTGTGCCTGTGTGTGTGTGTGAGAGAGAGAGAGAGAGAGAGAGAGAGAGAGAGAGAACGGGGGCGGGGGAGCAGGGGAGGCCTATGAGAGGGCAGGGCTGGGCCTGGACAAAGGCCCTTCAGCTCAAATTCCCTCCCTGGAGGCCTCAGGAGGAAGTTGTTTTCCTGAAGGGGTGCTGAGCAAACTTCCTAAAGCCGCGGGCCAGGCCCTCAGGGCACCTGAGCAGGTGCAGGCGGAGGCGGAGGGAGGCCCAGGGACAAGTGGGCTGAGGGAAGGGCCAGCCCTCGGAGCTCCCGCAAGAGGCCATTCTACAGGCGGCCGGGCAGGGCCAAGGGCCTCAGGAAGGACAGAGCCCCCACCAGCCAGGCCGCCCACCCAGGGCCCGGCTCCCAGCCCTGCTTGGCCCCCGCCCGTCCCCACTGCCCCCCCACACAACTGAGGTGTCACTTCGTGTCCCACTCAGGCCCCGTGTTGCAGCCGGAACCCTGAGCTCTCCTTGCTGGCGCCTCGCCCTCCACCTCGGCTTCTCCGCCCAGCTGGGGGTGCGCTCCTCTGAGGGTCGCCCCCTGGGCTCCTGCGCCCCTGGTGTGGCCCTCGCACCCGCCATCTGCTCTGTCACTCGTGCTCCTGACCCCGGGGAGGCAGGGGTTCCGTCATGGTTCCCTGGGACCTGCAGAGAGATGCCTCCAGCATGTCTGCAGGGGGCGGGCTGGCTGGCTGGCTTGTGCACGCCCTGGAACAAGGGGGCGGCCAACCTGTGGCCATGGCGGCTGCACAGGACCCTGAGGTGAGGGGGCAGGAGAGGGCGCAGGGGGGTGTCAAGGTGACAGCGGCGAACACTTCAGCCCCTACTCCTGGCCCAGCTCCAAAGGCCCGCAGGGGTGGCTTTGTCCTGGTCACTGCTCAGGGTCCTCCTGCAGGACAGCTAAGGGGCGGACAGAACCCTCGTACTCCCTGTGCTGGTCACACAGGTGGATCTCGGGGGGACGGGGGACGGGGGACAGCTGACAGGACTCTAAGTGACGGGCCCTGGACGGCTGCTGCTCCCTGGTCTCTGGGGCTCCCGGGAGCTGCTGGCCAGAACCGCACCTGGTGCCGTGAATGTCACCACGGGGCCCGAGGAAACCTCACCCTCCAGCGAGGACGTGAAGAGACACCTCGCACCACAGTTGGTTTTCTTCTGGACAATGGGGACCGGAGACCCGAGACCCTACAGTCCCGTCTTCCCTGAGGCTGGGGGGCCTCAGCCCGCAAGTGCCACTGCCCCAGAGCCCGAGATGCTGGGCACGGAGCCAGGGTGTGGAGGGCAGCTTCCCCAAGAACCCTGCAGGACCCCGGCCTGGTCTCAGGTGGCCAGCGGTGGGCGGGGGCCACGGCCCTAAGCTGACCACCTGGGGGACAGGGCACTCCAGGTCTGCACTCCCCACGGGGAGCCCCGTGCAGGGTGGGGAGAGCTTGCCTAGGGGCGTCTGTGGGCTCTCTGCCCAAAGTGCCTCCTGTGTGGAGGGGCACTGGGGCTCCTGGGACCAGAGCAGGGGTCCTGGGAGCTGAGCCCTGGGCGCCTTCCTCGAGCCACGTGGGCGCACGGCCCTGAGTTGGAACGTGAGCCCAGCCTTTCTGGTCGTGTCCGGGTCGGCCGGTAACTGTGCTTCACTCCTGAGTCCGGCCAGGCAGCAGGGGCCCGAGTCTCCACACACTCGCCCCATAGGAGGGCTGAGGCGGTTGGCGAGGCGAGGAGGGGGGAGGGCTGTGGGCAGATCCCCTCTGCCAAGGACAAGCGCTCCTGGGCTGGGAAGTGCTCCTCTGACCACCAAGGCGTGTGGGTGAGTGGAAGGCGAGGCCCTTGGGAAAAGCCGCCAGCTCCGCCCGGATGAGGGCAGCGGGTGGGCAAGGATGCAGAGCTCGGGGGGCAGCCAGCCTCCTGACCACAGCTGACACCCTGAGGCCCCACCCCTCCCAGGGGCCTGCAGACGCAGCCTCACACACGGAGTCCAAGTCCGGGAGCCAGAGCCCTGGGTGGGGGCTGCGGCTCAGTCCCCCTGTGGGCTGAACTGCAGGGCGGGGCCTCCCGGGAGGAGCCAGGAGCTGCCCGGTCCATTGAGACAGGAGCCAAACGGAAAGTAACAAACTCTTATTCGCTTGTTGCAGCAGCACAGCCAGAGGCAGGGAGGGCCGCGCTGCGCCCTGCACCACCGGGAAGGCACAGGCGGGGGGCAGCGCGAGGCCGTCCCGCGAAGGGGAGCCCACAACAGGCTCCTGTCTCCTGGACTTGCAGCCGGGAGAGTCCAGGACTGAGGGCTGAGGCAGAGTGGAGGGGTGTCTTCAAGGTCCCCAGGAAGGAGTCTGGCTGAGGAGCCCGAGAGGGGCCTGCCCGCGGGGTCCCCCAACACGCGGCCTCCACGTGGAGACGCCCAGAGCACGGCTGGCTGGGCCTCAGCCCTCGAGCGCCACTGCCCCGCAGACCGAGAAGCCCTGCTGGGCACGGAGCCAGGTGCGGGAGGACCGCTCCCCCAGGAACCCGCAGGGAAAGCCTCGGGGAGCCCACTCCTCAGGGCCCGGTCACCTGGGCCGGCGGCCTGGCTACGGGGAGTCAATTGAGGCCAGGAGGCCACAGGCTTCATCGGAGAGCCACCCCCTGGGTCAGGGGTCGAGGGTCACTTAGAGGTGAGGTCACAGGACACCAGTCCGTGTCCGGGTAGAGAAGGCAGTGGACGGACTTAAACCTGAGAAAGGGGGTGAGGTGTCAGGGTCGAGGGGAGGGCAGCGGCTCAGAGCTCCTCCCCCCGGCCCAGGCCCCCGGCCCACTCACCGCGTGGGGTCCTGCTGCAGGCTGAAGCCTCCGGCCACCTTCACCACGTTCCGGGGGTTCTCAGGACCCCCGTAGCTCAAGGTCACCTGGGAGGGGAGGACTTGCTCTCCGTACGTCCCCTCCAGGGTCCCACCCGCCTCAGGGTCTGGGCAGGAGGGCCCTTGGTCCCCGGGCGTCGGGGGCAGGTCTGAGAGCGCTGAAGGGTGCCGGGCTGAGCGGTGCGGCTGGAGGACAGCTGGTGTCCCCTGCCCCAAGCCATCTGCTGTCCCAGGGACCTGGCCTGGGACTCCCATCACCACCCAGACCACTGCCCGCGGCCCGGCGGCCCCGTCACCAGGGAAAGCAGTGGCTGCCCCTTGCAAACGAGCCCCCACAGGGAACGGGTGCCCCACCACACCTGGACCCACCTGGCCACTCCCACTCCCTCCCCAGCCCTGGCTCCGCTGGGACGGCTTCTCGGCCAGGCCCTCGACACCCGCCCAGGCTCCCGGGACCCGGGCCCACCTGCTGGAGCACGGAGCGCGGCGGCAGCCTCCGCAGGTTCTCCAGGTGGGAGTGGAACAGCGGGCAGTGCCGCAGGCGCGCGCCCAGCAGCCCCTCCACGATGTAGCCCACCGTGCAGTCGTCTGGCAGCCGCACCCGCTCGGCCGTGCTCATGAAGCTGCCCAGGCTGGGGGACGGGGGGACGGAGGGGTCAGTGCTGCCCGCCCTCAGCACCACCTCCCCGGGCAGCAGGCGCCCCCGCGGCCCCTCACCTGGCCCACGGGCTCATCTTGAGGGCAAGGCCTCTGCTGAGGCAGAACCCGGCCCCGCCGGTCGCGAACCAGAACTTGACCGTGGTCACCTGGGGAGGAGGGAGCTGCCAGTCAGAGCGAGAGCTCGCCGCCCCGTCTCTGTGCCTGGACACCCCGGGTGTCACCATCAGCTGCTCCTGAGCAGCGCCGGGTCCAGGCGGCAGGAGCCCCCGGGCACCGGGCACAGGGCTGTGGCCGCCTGGGTGCCCGTGGCCCCAGCGCCTCCCACAGAGCCTCCTGGCCGGCCCGCTCCCGACAGGCCCCGCCCGGCGGCTCAGGCCCGGCCCCTCCCGGCCCCAGTGCTCACAGTTCCCCCTCCTAGGACCCTCTCGGTGGCCTCGATGGGGTGGTCCAGGCTGGGCCGCCCCAGGTAGACGTCCTGGCTGGGCGAGAAGGTGGACAGCAGCTGCATCAGGCCCTCGGGGTTCACGTAGTTGTCGTCGTCCACGTGGCAGAACCACCTGCGAGGGGGGCAGTCTCAGCAGCCGGCCGGTGGGCGCCCGGGGCTCCCCAGGGGCGTGGCCACCACACACTTGCGTCCGGACTCGATGAACTGGTCGTACTCCACCGCCATCTTGCAGCAGAGCGCCTGGCGGGTGTGCGCGGCCGAGCAGTTGGTGTTGACCACGTGGCTGCCTGGTTGGGGGCACAGGACGTGTGAGGGCCGGAACCAGGCTCCTCGAGGTCAGGGCCAAAGGCGGCTGTCGGGCCCGGGGGCTGAGCACCGACCGAGGAACCAGGAGGTCCCGGTTCCATTCGGGTCGGGGGCACAGGCCCGGTTGCCGGCTCGATCCGCAGTGGGGGGCGTGCAGGAGGCAGCCGGCCCACGACTCTCTCACCGTGGATGTTTCTTCTACTCTCTCCCTCTCCCTCTCGGAAACCAATAAAAACATATATTTTAAAAAGTGGCTGTCGGCAGGTTTGGTGCCTGGCTCTGCTCAAGGCCCGCAGGCTGGGTCCAACCACAGCCCTGGTGGGGCCGCACTGGCTGACCCGGCTGCTGACCTGGGCCCGCCTGGCACCCAGCGTGGACGCCCACCGGGAAATGGGCCGGAGCTGGGACCCCCCTGACCGGTGGGGGACGTGGGAGGGGCGGCCTGGGGGAGGCTGGGACCCTGAGCAGGCGGCACCCCGTTGGGGCGCAGCCGGGGGACGTGAGCCCTGGACCCGGGCAGCTGGGGGGGGGGGGCACTCACCCGCCCTGGAGCTTCAGGTCCCGGCCGTCCCCATCGGTGAAAATGAGAGCTGTGAGGAAAACAATTGTGAAGTGCAAGCCGGTCCCTGGCCCAAGGGATGGAGGGGCTGCGGCGGGCCCTCGAAACGGGACTCCAGCCGGAATCTGACGGGACGTGGGTCTCGGGGGGAGAGGAGGGGCCTGGCACCCCCGTGCCGTCCACCCGCATTCTCGAAATTTCCCCGGCTCTCTCGATGCTTGCCGGGAGTCACCCCAGATTTCCCAAGCTTGTAGTCAGAAACGCACGAAGGAGATCACTGATCCCGAACGGACAGGGGACCCGGAGAACG